TTAAAAAGATTTCAGTGGAGGAACGTGTTAATCTTGTCTGCTTCCATCTTAAAGCAGAATGATTTATATTGCTTAAATGTGTGTAAAGACACAATTTTATAGGCTTATCTCTGATGCTTTGTCTTCCATAATTTAGACATGCATAAAAGCTCTTTGATCTCATATATAAAGATTAAAGCAAGTGTACTGGACTTATATAACATACATTTTAAATTGTATAGTAATGTTTAGAAGGTTAGAAGTATGCAAAATTTTTTGTAATACCCAAAAACTGTTTTTGGGTAATTACAGCAATAAATGAAGCATATGGAAATTTATTATCAGTCTTAATCGTGGTGCACAGTGTACTTAAGTGACAAAATACCTACTTAAGAGTAGATTTGACATTTTTTTCTCATGATTTAATAGCAGTTTTTTTGAGTGGAAAAATAATTTTCATCTTACAGAGTTTTTTAAAATTGTTTTTTAGAATAGAACATCAGTGGGGAGTTTTGTTTTGAAATATGTTTCATAATGAAGAAAAGAGGTTGACAAATATACTGGCAACCATGTTTTATAGTACTGTAACTTACCATAACCTACAAAGAACAAAATTGAAGAGAAAGTAGTGAGTGGAAAACTGGCTAGAAAGAAAAATAGGTGAAATCCCAGGAAGATAGCAAAGTGTTTCTCTAATTTCTAAATGAAAAAAAAAAGTGGGTTTAATAAAACAAGACATGTCTAAGGTTAAATTTCTCCTTGACATACTCTTTTGTGACCTTTGCAAATTACTTCACTTTTCTGAGTTTAAGAATTTTTATTTGTAAAATAAGGTAATATTGCAAACCTTTTTGAGTTCTATGCAGACTAAATGAGCAGAAATATCAGCTGCTTAGCTGAGCTCTGACATATAACTTACACTTTTTTTTTTTCCCCCAAGTTTCACAGTGTTTGTTGATAGATACAAGTATATAAAGTCAGGGCATGAACATGACTTGATAAATTAAGTAGACTTAATTTCTATACTGTAATAAAAAGGACCAATTAAAATTCTCACCATTTGTTTCACACCCACAAAAACCACTTCAAGAGCATTAACGATCTCTCAAAACTGATCAGGGGAGCCATGTTTCTTTTAAAAAGGCCTGTGCAATTGCCTAGGCTCAAGGATATTAAAATCCAGCACATAAAGCCCATTGATGCTCTTATCCATTCCCTACCTCTGGAATGGGAGACTTTTAATTTATTTTGAACACACGAACACATTTGTACATTAAAACATTCCACTTTCTCCAGAAAAGTTGCCATTTCTTTTACGTAAGAATCAGAACTGTAAAAGTTTCTCACATCAGCTCCTGAAATTGCTTGAAGGAATTGGTGAAGCCCCTTCCCAATCCATGGTGACAACAGTGATGGGTGATTATTATAGCTAACATTTATTGAGCCATTACTGTGTGCTGAAATTGCTCTAAGTACTGTACAGGTTTTATTTCTATAATAACCCCCTATTTATAGCTGTGGAAACTACAGCACAGAGATGTTAAGTATGTAATTAAGACTGTACCAATAAGTAGCAGTGACAAGATTTTAACCCAGCCATTGTGACCTCAGAATCCAGGTTATTAACCATTTTCTTATTTCTGTGTTTCTGTAATCCTTATTAAACATGATGGCATAGTTTTTCATTAAAAAAAAAAAAAGTTGTATGTAATACAATAGAGGGTCAGCGAAAGAGAGGAATACCCTCAGTGAGATGGACTGACAGAGTGACTGCAGTGATGGGCTCAAGCATACCAACGATTGTGAGGATAGCACAGGACTGGACAGTGCTCCATTCTGTTGGACATAGTGTCACTATGAGTCGGAACCGATTTGATGGCACCTAACAACAACAACATATAATACAATGCTATTACAAATTTGTACACTATTAGAATCAGTGGGTTTTTAAATGTCACAGTACAACGTCCTGTAAAGTATAGAAATTTCTTATATATCATCTCTAAAAGATAGTCATCTAGCTTCTGCATAAATATATCTAGAGACTGGGTTTTATTACATTTTAAGGCAAACCATTTCGTTGTTAAATTGTCTAAAATGTAAGGAATTTATCTTATGATAAATTTTTGCCCTCACTACTTTTACCCATTGATTCTAATTTTCTGCCCTTTAGGAAAATAGTAAATATACAGCTTCTTTCACAGACAAATGTTTAGACAGGAATCATTTCTTCTTCTTATCTTAGGCTAAACACCATCAACTATTTTACAAACAGGACATTTCCATACTCTTCTCGACTGAGAGGCTTTTCTACTTTTTCTGGCTTTTTCTACTTTTTCTAGTTTTAAAAAATGAGCTCACTGTAAGCTATACTCATATACCAAATTCTGTGTAATTTAGATTTCTAACAAAAATATTGTATCATTTATGTATAAACAAAAGAAAAGGAAAAAGGGGAAACAAAATATTCCCAGAACTGAATACACTTAACTGTTCAGTGAATGTTATAAAGTGCAGTTCATTTATGGATTCAGCAGAGGTACAGTTGTGCTTACTAGAGCAGCTACTGCTAGTTAGTATTTATTGAACATTTGCTGTACACCATGCTCTTTTCTAAACACTTTACACATAATTTATTTAGTCATCACAGTAATCCTATGAGGTAGATGCTGTTAAGTAACTTAATCAATATTACATGGTTGATAGTGTCAAAGCTGAGATTCAAACCCAGGCACTCCTAACCCACTGTATTATATATGTTAAGTAGTTCTTTGGTGATCTAATCTGAGAACCTGTCTACCTTTTATAACACTTTTCTATAAGAATATGTTACTTAGAAAATGATCTTGTGGACAGCTCATTTGTAATTTGATGAATTCAGTGAAAATAGAAACCTTTCCTGAACTGAATCCCAGCTAATAACTCTGTGACTTTACCTGTTTCCTGATATGTAAAATGTGGATAATATCAGTTTCAAAATACTATTTTAGGGATTAATATCTATCTATACACACACATTCATCTATGTGTATGTGTCTGTATAGTTATACTGTTATATATGTAAGTATACATAGTCTAGTATAGTTGCATACTAGGCCATTAAATATCAAAGAAGCAGCATAACACAATTAAGAGAATAGACTTCAGAGCAGAACTGACTGAGTTTAAATCCAGATTCTGCTATTTACTAGCTGTATGACCCTGGACAAGTTTCTTAACCTCTCTGTGCCCTAGTATTCTCATCTGTAATATGAGTGTAATACTCATCATGTGGCTGTTTATGAGGATTAATGAGTTGATATTTGTAAAGCACTTAGATCAGACTTTGTGCCTAGTAAGTTATATATAAATGTTGGAATATTATTACTTTACATCATTACCTAACATAGCATCTGTATTTTTATAAATTCATTAAAAATTATGTTTGTACACTTGTGAATTAGTAATTTTTTTAAACAAATTTAGAACTTAGACATGAAATATGTTTGTCAAAACCAGTTAGTTAAAAATCACCTTATATTACAGAGGAGAGGTGGCAACCCTGAAGAAAAAAGGTTAAGTAATTTAGAGTTTAGACATTTTGCCAGTGATGACTAGGTTTGTTATCACCTGAACCAGGTCTTAGTACCCTAATCTAGTTTTTTTTTTTTTTTTTTTTTTTTTTAAGTAAGGGACCTAGTGTGGATAAAACACAAAATAATGAACTTCATTATGAGGAATTTTAGTTACAGGGTAGAATTATTATAAGTGTTTCAACCATATTGAGTTACCCAAAATAATTAGAGTCCTTTTTGAAGTTTTTATTTATTTATTTTATGGTTTTATGTTTGTGTTTTTTAGGAGCATTGCAATATGCTTTATGAGAAACCATGGACTTGAATTTTTGTCTTCCTGTATCACCTTCCCCCCATCACTTTGGTATACATCCAGTCAGTATCTTTGAAACATCTTCCATTGTGATTGAATACCCTAGTAGTAGAAAAAAAAGTGAAGACTTGAATGCTTATGCTTGGGAGTTATTAGTAATTAATCCTAACAGTATATTCCTACCTTCCTTAGTTCTGTTCATAAAGAATTACTTTAGTGGATTTTATGTAATAATCTATATGCCTCGTTCTCTAATCAATCTGTAATAAGGGAATTTAGTTTAGTTGTTAAATAGACTAGTCAAATTGATTTGATCTAATTTAAAAATAATAGTACAAGCACTCCCCGGGTTATGAACAAGATCCCTTTCTAAGCGTGTCTTTAAGTTGAATTTGTAGCTAAGTTAGAACAGGTGCATACAATTCTTATTTAGCCTTACCCTAGTGCAAGAAATGAGCTCTGGTGGTGCAGTGATTAAAGCACTCAGCTACTAACGAAAGCTCAGCGGTTTGAACCCACCAGCTGCTCCGAACCCACTAGCTGCTCCGTGGGAGAAATAACGTGGCAGTCCGCTTTCGTAAAGATTTCCAGCCTTTGAAACCCTATGGGGCTATTCTACTCTGTCCTATAGGGTCATTGTAAGTCAGAATTGACTCCAGGACAATGGGTTTGGATTTTTGGTTTTAGTGTAAGAAAAGGCTCAGCGTCTTTTTAAAGACATAAAAGCTGCATGTGCAGCAAATGAAGGTGATTATGATAAAGAATTTGTTGTGAGTTGGTTCACTTGTTTCAGAGTGAAGGCAGATTTACATAACATTAAAAGGCAAATATGAGTTGTCCATAAGTTGGACATTTGTAACCTGGGGACTTACTGTATAAGAAAAGACTTTGGGCATCATCTGATTCAGCTTCCTACTCAGTGTAATCACTTCTGCAGTATCCCTGACAGATGGTTCTACAACTATACTGCAGTATTTCCTTTGCTTGAGTTGGTTGAATTCTTGAATTATCTGAAACCATAAGGAGGTTCCATTTAGGTGACTTCATCCTCATCTCAAATCCTGTAATCCTTTGTTTTTTGAAAATACTATCTTCGAATTTTAAACAACAGTTAGGCCTAATTAAGTAACTTTAACATAATGTTTAATTTACAGATTGCCCAAGGACTCCAGATACTCCAAATAATGACCCTCGTTGTTCTACTAGCAATAATAGATTGATGGCCTTACAAAAGCAATTGGATATAGAACTTAAAGTAAAACAAGGTGCAGAGAACATGATACAGATGTATTCAAATGGATCTTCAAAGGTAAGTACTGTAAAGAAATGTAAGTGTATATTTGAAATTATTTAAGTAGTCTAAGTGAACCTAATTTGTAAATTGAGTATATATCCTCAAAACCCCATTGCTGTCAAGTCAATTCCGACTCATAGCGACCCTATAGGACAGAATAGAGTTGCCCCATAGGGTTTCTAAGGAGCGGATGGTGGATTCGAACTGCCAAGCTTTTGGTTAGTGCCGAGCTCTTAACTACTTTGCCACCAGGTCTCCCTTGAGTATAGTGATGAAATAATTATTTTCTCAGTTTTGTAGCTTGAAACCCAATCCACAGACTTTAATGCTTTAGTTTTTTGCTTAAAAGGCATAAATAATATCCTAAAATCAGTATATTTTAATATGAACTATAAAATAATATTTGATCATGCCACAGTTACTTTGTGAAAAAGTTATATGAAACGCAGCCTTTACTAGTAACATTCAGCTCCTTCAGATATTTTATGGTCTCTGCTATTTTGGATATATGCTTTGGTATTTATTTTGAGCCATACAAAAACACATTAATGAATGTGTTGCAGGACTTCTATTATTATAACTTCAGAAGTTATTACATTAAAAATTAGTGTTCTAAAGCTGGATTAGATATTTAGTGTTACATAGAATGATAAATTCTTATTTATATTAGATTGAGTTGAAAATTAAGAGGTGTCTGATCTCATTTTAGCCAGAGCTAGTGAGCTATAACTGAAGTTTGAAGCTTTGCCTCCAGGTAGAGGCTGAATGAAGTAACATTATTTAAAAGAGAACTGATTGTAATTTGGAAACCAGATTCTTTTATTATTTTTATGTTTATTTTACTTTGTGAAAGTAAATATTACTTTCTTAAACTTTATTACTACAATAATCAGTATTTCTGTAATTGTTTAGCCTCAGCAACTTTCTTATCTGAGTTTTTAAATGTTATCATAATGATTGCCACATAAAATGCCCTCAGTAAATGGTAGTAATTATTATTTTGTTATAGTCCAATACATGGCTTATATGTATTTTATCCCATTTAATGTTTAAAACAACCCTGGACAAGAAAAGGAGCAGTGATAATTCTTACTTTGTAGATCAGGTAATTGAATCTGAGACATTAAATGATTGGCCTTAGGTCATTTACTTAGTAAAGAATCCCCAAATCTATATCTCCAACTGTGGCCTACCTCCTAAGCTCTAGTGCCATATTCCACAATCTACTGGACATCTCCAGTTCCAGGAACTTCAATTAAGTTTGTCTAATACCAAACTAATTATCTTTCCCCCTTACATTTCCTTTCCTTGTTTACTAGCACTGCCATCTGCCTACTCTCTTAATTTGAGAAACCTAAAAATTTTCCTTGATCATGAAACTCTCTTCATACCCTTATTCTATCCTCAGCTCACCTACTACTCACTCCCAATTAAATCAGTTAACCTCCATGGCCTTGATTGTACTTCATAATTGTTTTTCATATCTCTCTTCCTCTTTATGTCATTAGTTCAGGTCCTTGTCATCTTTCAACTGGAGTATTATAGTAGCCTGTACTTTAATTTTTCTGCTTCTGATAACTCTCTAATATGTGGGGTTAGGGTTGGGACGGGGACTTTGGAATCCAACAAACCCGTGTTCATAATGCAGTCTTTCACTTACTAGCTGTTTGTCCAGTCTGGGTCTCAGCTTTTTCAAATGTATAATTAAGATACTAATATCTGCCCTGTAAGATTATATGGTTGTTATGAGGATTAGAGATGACTCATGTAAAACACCTAGCACAGGGCTCAATAAGCAATGGGAATGTTTGCTGATGCTATTATTTTTAGCTGACATGAATTTTCTTTCTCGATATGTGAAAATGAGTGTATTTCTTATTAATCTTTTAACAGCTTTTCATTACTAATAGTAGTAACTTTTCTGGTGCTCAAACTTCTGTTGAGTATCGGTTTAAAGTATAGACGTTTTCCTCTTAAAATACATATTTATGCTCTTAAGAACTATCTATACGGTATAAAATTGACAACAGCAATTCAAAAGATTAGATAGGAACTTTATGGGGCAGTGAGTTTATGTTAATGGTGAAGGAACAACTCAGAAAATGAGGTTGAGAATGGTTGCACAACTTGAAAAATGTAATCAATGTCACTGAATTGTACACGTAGAAACTGGTGAATTGGTGTATGTTTTGCTATGTATTCTCCTCAACAACAACAAAATAAGTAAAAAATTTAAAAAATGCATACACACTGTATCTGCATTATTCATAGATTCCATATTTGCAAATTCACCTGGTTGTTTAAATGTCTTTGTAACCCCCAAATCAGTACTTGTGGTGAGTTCATGGTCATTTACAGACATGTGTAAAATAGAAAAAATTTGAGCCACCTGATGTACATGTTTCCAACCAAAGTCAAGCAAAGCCTTCTTGTTTTAGCTCTCATACTGTAAACAAGTATTCTTTTCACGGTCTATTTAGTGACATGTTTTTCAAATTTTTGTGCTTTTTGTTGGTGATTTCACTGTTTAAAATTGCCTTCAAGTGTAGATTGTGGTGTGCCTTATGGAGAAAATACGTGTATTAGATAAACTTCATTCAGGCATTTGTTATAGTGCTGCTGGCTGTGAGTTCACTGTTGATGCATCAACAGTATATATTGAATAAGATGTCTTTAAAACAAACACATAAAACAAGGTTATGTATTGATCAGTTGACAGAAATGTTGTGACCAGAGGCTCACAGAAGGCTAATCCCGTATTTCCCCTAGGAGCAGTGGTTCATTATTTTCTCGTTGAGTGTTCATGGCAACTTTATAGAACATAACTACCATGAATAACAAGAATTGCCTTTTATATACATAAACACATTGCTTTGCATTCAGTTTCTTAAAGCTAGGTTAAGAATGTCTGATGTATTAAATATTGTCCAAATTGTGATATATGAGGACTTTTTGCACTATGACCCTAGTACTAGTTTATAGTTTTATTTTATTTGAATTCTCTGAAGCTGTGAGGCCTCAACCTCTCCTTCCTTCTTGATATGTTTTTCCCAGCTTCCATCGTACCATACTCTCCTGGCTGTATTCCCATTTGTTTAACTATTTCTTCTCAGTATCCTTTACTGGATCTTTTTTTTTTTTTTTTTTTTTAAACCAACATCCTCTCTTGTTTAGAGCAGTGGTTCTTAATCCCTCTGGGGTTACAGACCACTTTGAGAATAGGGTGAAACCTGTGGCCCTATCACTCATCCATCTATCAATATATACACTTAATTTTCCAAAACTTTAAGGGATTCACGAACCCGTCAAACTAATCCATCTACTCCAGATTTAAAAGCCTTACTCCAGAGGGCAGTAGCTTGGTTAATTTAATTTTAAAAAATTAAAATTTTAAAATTTTAATAAATTTTAGAATTGTAATAAAAACTAAAAATCTCAAAGATTGGAGGTCAGTAGTACAGAGAATAATAATTCCACCACCCCGTAATAAATGTTCAAAATTAAGGAAATTGCATCATATCAACCATCATATATGCGTAATACATCAAGTAGAAACAAATGTGTTTCTCTAAAAATAACAGAAAAAAATCCTTCTGAAATATGGTATATAATCCAATTAATTTGACATAAATAACCGTTTAAAAAGCTTATTTATGGCTTACACACATTTCTGTCTTTTCAGCATCTTCTCAAATTTCATTTGGGGTGAGTAGGTGGGCTGTATAACTCGGAGCAAAGATTTTTTTCCCCCTCATTTCAAATTCCTCCTCTACTGAAACAAAAGAAATAGCTAATAACTTTTATTCTGAAATTATTTTTAAAATATCTGTTAAAATATGGAAGAAACATTGATTTAGAGATGCCAGAATCTTTAAAATAAATGAGTTGAGAGTAGAAAGGTGGATTTTATAACGCACGTTTCTAAGAATATTTGGAAATTATTAAAACTATAGAATCTTAGGTTGGAAGGTTCTAGGTAATCATATTCAGTGGTTCCCAATATTTTTTCTGCCCTATCATACCTAAGAAAAAGGACACACTCCCATTAGTAACTATTGCTCCTCATAAGACTGATTTTCAGTTGGGAGTTACATGTTAATACCAGATCCCCACCAGTAAATCTTCAGGTAGGTAACTCACAACGAGAGATGTATCATAGCTAAAAGACAAACCAGATTATTTGTATAAAATTAGGCATTTGGAATTCTGTCATATACGATAATAGAGAATTGTTGAAAGACTTTCAGCAGGGGAAATACAGGATCAAATTTAAAGTTTAGAAAGCTCACATCCATCTTCCTTGGACTTGAATTAATTAGAGAGGGTCAAGTGTATAGGCAGCAAATTTAGTTAGGCTTCTGTAGTAGTCCAGGCTAAACATACTTCATCCCTCTTATAACAGCAATGAAAGCAAAGAAGAGAGAGTCAAGCTATTTAGGTAGAATAAATATGTGGTGTCTGGGTATAAGGAAGAAGGCAGAGTCAAATACAATTTTCATATTGGTTATGTGGGCAGACTGGTGAATGGTGGTGCTTTTCACAAATAGGGAATCGAAGAGGAGGAGCAAATTTTAGGGACAGGGATGATTAATTCAGGTTGGTGGTAAACAGTGGTCCCCCGAATTCAAGGTATTTGGATTCTTTATGATAAAAATTATTATCCCTGCACATGTAATGGCCAGAATTGTTCTTTAAAAATGTGAGTCAAATATTTTCACTCTTCTGCTCAAACTATAGAAAACTATAGAATCTTAGGTTGGAAGGTTCTAGGTAATCATATTCAGTGGTTCCCAATATTTTTTCTGCCCTATCATACCTAAGAAAAAGGACACACTCCCATTAGTAACTATTGCTCCTCATAAGACTGATTTTCAGTTGGGAGTTACATTTCTTTCTCCAATGGCTTCCCCTACATTTAGAACAAAATCCAGAGTCCTTACTCTGACTTATAAGACTCTCTGAGTCACCAAGGATTATCTGTGATTACCTTCTGACTTCATCTCCTAAAATACTTTTATCCACTCTCATTACTCTCTAGGTACACTGGCTTCATGCTTTTCCTCTAGTATACCAGGCACACTCTTACCTTAGGGCCTTTGCACTTGCTATGTCTCTGCCTAGAAATCTCTTTTCCCATATTCTTTCATGGCTTCCTCCCTTTATTAAGGTCTCTACCTTAGCAAATTCTTCACTGTCACCCTATGGAAAATATCAGTCTCTGCCCTCCCTATTTCTTTCACTACATTAACACTATATGAAATTACAATTTACATGATCATTTTCTTTATCATCTATTTCCAGAATTAGAATGTAAATTTCAAGTGGACAGGGACATTGTCTTGTTTATCACTGTGTCCTCCTTACCCAGAATAATACTTACTGTATTGAGGTACTTTGCTACAAATATTCAGTAAATGTTTGTTGAAGGAAGGGATAGTGTTGCACTGTCCATTCATTGTCAGTTAACTTCCCTTGCCCCATGAGTTGCCCATTGTTTTTCTTAGTTCATGACTATGTATTATAATTATTTTCATATTACTCCTTATGTGACTAAGGTGTTCTTACTGTTAATACAAAGATCTGAGGAATGAAATGCGATTATCTTATACTGCTACCCACGGAGTGATGTACTCTGGCATCTCTTTCTTGATGGGCAGTTGTGGCTCTAAGCAGCACCACTGATTTTCAGAGTAATCTCTGAGGGCTTGGTTAAGACATGTTGAAGAGATAACTCCTGTTCACATATTCAGGTAACAAATCAAGCTATTTAATAAAAATGTAGGATTCTTCCTAGTCACATATCTTTTTTTTTTTTTTTTTTAATGCTTCTGAGTGTTTATGTACTTTTTCCTCATTTGGAAATACTTGCCCATCCATTCACATCTTCCATCCCCCAATCCTCATCCTCTAATCTTGGCATATTCCAATCTTATCTGTATTTCAGACCCATGAAATCTGTCTGAATTCCCTCAACTAAAGCTGATTCTACCCTCCTTTGAATTTTTCTTTGGTTACCTTTAAATTTGGGGGGCATTTAATAACTATCTGTATTTTCCCTTGTATTATTAAACTGTAAGCTTCAAGGGGTAGCATCCTAACTAATCAATCTTTGTATTTTCACCGATCTGACATTTAACATACAGAAAGTAAGTCATAAATATATGATGAATAAATACAGATAATGATTGGCTCAGTTATTTCTGAAAGGTATATGTGTGATGTAGTTTTTTTCTGTTTTATTGTTTGTTTTTTTTTTAATATATCCCACTTTGAGTTGCAGGAAAAAATAGTTAATTTTTTATACAATTTTAAAAAATGCAATTTTAAAATATAAAATTTATAAAGTTATTTATATTTAAATATTGGCCATTCGAAATAAAACTATTTGCTATCAGTAGTAAATTATTTTGACTAGTCTATTAGGTTGAACTATATGAAATTGCTGGGGCTTTTTTTTTTTTTTTTTGTTAAAAATCAGCCAAATACTGGCAATTTCATATGCTTCAACTTAATACATGTAAAATCTTCCAAAAGTATATCCATATAAAAGCCCATATCTTAGGCTGGTTTTTCTAGAGGAGCAAAACCAGTTAAGCAAATATATATATATATAAAGAGATTTAATGCAAAGAAGCGGCCCACACAGTTGTAAAGGTTGACAAGTCCCAAATCCGTGAGTTAGACGTCAGGCTGGAGGCTTCTTCTGACTCACATGATAGCAGGGGCTGACAAGCCCAAAATCGGTAGGTCAAGCAGAAGGCTGCTGGCTCACGGAGTTGTGAGACATGGTGCATCCCAAGATCTGCAGGTCAAGCAGCAGGCTGCTAGCTCATGTCCCAAGAACCACAGGTCAGGGGATGAGGCATCAATGGCAGGATCCAGAGAGAGCTTTGCCAGAACATCCATGTATGTTGGATTACAGGCCATACCCACAAGGAAACTGATTAGCTTTCAACTGATTGACCTTTCAGCTGATTGGCTGCCCACACCCACATCAGATCACAAAATGGAGGGTGATGACATAATATCTGCCAAACCACTGAGAATCATGGCCTACCCAAGTTGACACAGAACTTTAACCACCACAGTCCACCCCTTGTAAACTTGGCACCTGTACACATCTCCTTAAACCATACATAATCTCTAAATAAAGACAATTACAAAGTCATACTTGCACCTAACATGATGTGACTAACACACATACAACTGAAAACACAATAGCCCTGTTTACATCTTGTATGTTATAATGAGTAATGGAATAAGTGAGGGAAGAAAACAAAGGTATTTGCTGTACACACACACACACACGCACGCGTATAACGAAATAAGGAAGAAATAATAAAAACAATTACAGTCCTCGTTTCTGCAGTTGATTACGTGGTCATAGCTGGTGTTTAAAACTACCTTCTTCCACCACCTGTTCTGTATTCCCTTTGTCCCCAGGAAGCACCTTACCTGGTTGTGGGTCTTTGCCTGGTGGGGTGACCCAAACTTTCCTTCCTGAGGGGTCTGGATCATTAGTAGACATGTTAGAATTGGTTTCCATTGACTTTACTCGCAGGGCATGGTAGTACTAAGAGACACCCTAAGCGATCTCCTGTATTCCAGACATTCTCTTCTTTACCTCCATTATATAATATCAGTCTGATTTCCCCTTAGTAATCAGGATCAGTCATAGCAGCCAACACAATAACTCCCTTCTTTGCCTCTTGACCAGAGGCGTGAGGAGCCCAAAGTGGCCAAGTGGCATTCTTAACTTTCAATTCAGTGCAGTCAGTGTTGTATCTCCTGGTGGGAGCATTCCTCCCTTTGGAACTAAGACCTCTAGACCCTGAGAGCATAGGGTCACGGGGACAGGAAGCAAAAATTTTGTGAGTGGGTCACTAGGGGTAATAGGGAGTGGTGCCACTCCCATTTCTACCCCTTGATTCCTGGACCTATGAATCCTAGCTATGGGAGAAACAACACCATATATTGGAATATACAGCCTCCTGGAGAACATTGCCCAACCCTACAAGGAATTGCCACCTAGCTGGTGCCATAATTGTCTTTAGAAAGCCATTCCGTCATTCTGTTAAGCCAGCTGCTTCAGGATGAGGGGAACATGGTAAGACCAGTGCATTCCATGAGCGTGGGTCCATTGCTGTACTTAATTTGCTGTGAAGTGAGTCCCTTAATCTGAGGCAATGCTGTGTGGGATAGCATGATGGTGAATAAGGTATTCTGTAGGTTCATGAATATTAGTTTTGGAAGAAGCATTGCATGCAGGGAGACAAATCTGTATCCAGAGTAAGTGTCTATCCCAGTAAGAACAAAGCGCTGCCCTTTCCATGATGGAAGTGGTCCAATGAAATCACCTGCTGCCAGGTTGCTGGCTGATCACCCTGAGGAATCGTACCATATCAGGGACTCGGTGTTGGTTGCTGCTGCTGGCAGATTGGGCACTTAGCAGTGGCTGTAGCCAAGTCAGCCTTGGTGAGTGAAAGTCCGTGTTCTGAGCCCGTGCATAATCTCCATCCCTGCTGCCATGGCCAGTTTGTTCATAAGCCCATTGGGCAATGAAAGGAGTGGCTGGGGAAAGAAGATGACTGATTTCCACGGAACGCATCATCGTATCCACTTGATCGTTAAAATCATCCTCTGCCAAGGTCACCCTTTGGTGAGCATTCACATGAGAAAACAAATATCCTCAGTTCTTTGGCCCGTTCAGAGAGGTCTGTCCATATAACTTCTCCCCATACCTCCTTGTCACCAGTTTTCCAATCAGTGTGCCTTCCAAGGCCCATGAATCAGTTTACGGTTGTACATCTGGCCGTTTCTCCTTCCAAGGAAATTGAGCAACTAGGCAAACTGCTCAAAGTTCTGCCCATTGGGAGGATTTCCTTCACCACTGTCCTTCAAGGAGGTCCAAGAAAGGGGCTGCAGTGCTGCCACTGTCCACTTTCAAGTGGTGCCTGCATATTGCCTGGAACCATCTGTAAACCAGGCATGAGTTTTCTCTTCCTCGGTCAACTGATTGTAAGGATCACCACATGAGGCCATTGGTGCAGTCTGTGAGAGGAAAAATAATGTGACAGGAGTAGAGACCAAGGGCATTTGGCCCACTTCCTCACTTAACTTGCTTATGCCTTTACAACCTGCTCGAGTCTAGTGGCTTACGTGTTGCTGTGATGCTGGAAGCTATGTCACCAGTATTTCAAATACTAGCAGGGTCACCCGTGGTGGACAGATTTCAGCAGATCTTCCAGACTAAGACAGACTAGGAAGAAGGATGTGGTGGTCTACTTCTTAAAAAATTGGCCAGTGAAAACCTTATAAATAGCAGCAGAACATGGTCTGATACAGTGCCAGAAGATGAGCCCTTCAGGTTGGAAGTCACTCAGAATACAACTGTGGAAGAGCTGCCTCCTCAAAGGAGAGTCGAACTTAATGATGTGGTTGCAGTAGAGCTTTCAAGACTTCATTTGCTGATACAGCAGGACTCAGAAAGAGAAAAAACAGTTGTAAACATTCATTAACAACCAGAACATGGAATGTACAGAGTATAAATCTAGTAAAATTGAAAGTCATGAAAAACGAAATGATAGGCTTAAAGATCAATATCATAGGTATTAGTGAGCTGAGATGGACTGTATTGGCCATTTTGAATCGGACAGTCATACGGCCTATCATTCCAGGAATGACAGACTGAAGAGGAATGGTGTTGTATTCATTGACAAAAAGGACAGTTCAAGATCTATGCTGAAGTACAACGCTGTCAGTGATAGGATAGTATCCATATGCGTACAAGGAGGACCAGTTAACACAACTGTTATTCAAATATACACACCAATACTAATGCCAAAGATGAAGAAATAAAAGATTTTTTATCAACTTCTGCAGTCTCAGATTGATCAAACATGAAATCAAGATGCATTGATAATTAGTGGAGATTATAATGTGAAAGTTGGAAACATAAAAGAAGGATCAGTAGTTGGAAAATACAGCCTTGGTGATAGGAACAACGCTGGAGATTGCATGATAGAATTTTGCAAGACCAACAGCTTATTCATTACAAATACCTTTTTTCAACAATATAAACAACTGCTATACACGTGGACCTCACCGGAGGGAATACACAGAAATCAAATCTGTGCAAAGAGACAGTAGAAAGCTCAGTATCATCAGTCAGAACAAGGCCATGGCCAACTGCAGAACAGACTTCAGTTGCTAACATGCAAGTTCAAGTTGAAGCTGAAGAAAATTAAAACAAGTCCATGAGAGCAAAAATAGAACCTTAAGTGTATCCCATCTGAATTTAGAGACCATCTGAAGGATAGATTTGATGACTTGAACACTAATGACTGAAGACCAGATGAGTTGTGGGATGACATCAAGGACATCATACATGAAGAAAGCAAAAGGTCATTAAAAAGACAGGTAAGAAAGAAAAGACCAAAATGGATGTCAGAAGAGATTCTGAAACTTGCTCTTGAATGTTAGAGCAGCTAAAGCGAATGGAAAAAATGATGAAGTAAAAGAGCTGAACAGAAGATTTCAAAGGGCAGCTCGAGAAGACAGTGTAAAGTATTATAATGAAATGTGCAAAGACCTGGAGTTAGAAAACCAAAAGGGAAGAATATGCTCAACATTTCTCAAACTGAAAGAACTGAAGAAAAAATTCAAGCTTCGAGCTACAATACTGAAGGATTCTATGGGGAAAATATTGAACAATGCAGGAAACATCAAAAAAAAAAAAAAAAAAAGACAGAAGGAATACATAGAGTCACTGTACCAAAAAGATTTGGTTTACATTCAACTTTTTCAGAAGGTAGCAACTGATCAA